AATTAGTGAAAAACATCTCGTTGATTAACCCAGTGAAATTTACGCAAATATAAATTCTTAATGGGTAATGGGTGCTGTCTCTATAAAAGCTCTTGTTCTATGCCCAGTCTCATATTTATCTGTATATTTCTTTCTGTGGCTTTCCTTTGTTCCTCGAGTTTTACGTCCACTTCCACCGGGAATTTTCTGTTGCGTTGGTTGTCATTAATTGATTATATAACGTGTTAGTATACGATACTATAAACTATAGCGCGTGCCTTCCCAGGCGATAGCTATATTGATTTTTTTTTGAAACTCAAAAGAACAGATGTAAACCGAGAAAGTTCATTGGTATTTTCCAACATCAGGGTCCGGTTCCTAGAAAATTCTTAAAGTAAGCACAAAGTCATGCTTCACTTTTGCTTACGTAAGAAACTTTATAAAATACCGTCTCTAGAAAATTCCCAAAAACCGTTCTTACGTAAGCACAAGTCAAGTACGAGTCTAAGCACATTGTGACTAGTTAACTGAGACTACGATGCTCTCTACCGTCATAAAAACAATTTTGGCATGCGAATTACATCATAAATTGGTCGGATGCTTCCCGGCAAATGGTCGATTTTGATGCATTTACATGACCCCTATATATAAAGTTAAAAAAACAAAACAAACACAAGCACATGCAAACAAACTGAATAATTGTGAGAGCGCCTGATCTTAAAGTAGCCCGTGTTTGTGTTGTTTACTAATTGGCAAATAAATAAAATGGTTTCCGGGTAGAAGCGAAATTTTCTATATTCTTCTCGAGAATAATTATGTTTCTAAAGGATTTTATGTCTGTTAATTGTCTTTTTGGTATCAAAAGATGAAGGAAATGCCGTCGAATAACTCTACGGTCAGCCATCTTGATTGAAACAGACGGGCTTAAGGTTGGTAAGCAAGCCGTATACCTTGCTTGGGACTTGTGCTTAGATTGACAATGTTTAAGAACGAAGTTGTGCTTAAGTTTGTTCTTGGAACACATAATAATGTGCTTGTGCTTGCACTGAAGTCTACTTAAAATCTAAGCACAAGAATGTGCTTAAGAATTTTCTAGGAATCGGGCCCAGTAGTGCAGAACGGAGGGCGTGGTAAGGATCAACGTCTAGTCCAGGCGTGCACTTAAAATAAAAGACTCATTGTCTGGTCTAGTGTTTCAACGCGTGCACGTTAAATCATAAGGTTCGTGATATTGAGTCAAGTAGTGTGGTTTCGATTCCCCGCTTGTACGTTACAGGGAGTAGAGTCGTCTGCCCAACCACGTTGTTGACTAATCAATATCAACTGTTTGTTGATCAACGATCATGGATGCTCCTGTGCAAAAGAACTACATACTCGAATAATGACATAACTGACAATAATATCAACTATTGATCTGTGACATGGTTGATTTTCATTTTCGTTTGCTTTGTTACTGTTGTAGTTCACATATCTGCTCTTTAATAGATGATATAAACATGGTTTTCGCATTGTTTCCACCCAAGCAATTCCTAACGTATACAATTGCTTTCGGGATGAGGCCGCGACGAAGGCTCTGGGGACTACACCAAACCACTAATGCATGCGGCACTCTGATGATTACTCTTTACTGCTCCAATGTATGCCCCCCCCCCCGACAAACTCCTGGATCTGGGCCTGTACACGTAGGTGTAAAGCTCACCTATGACAGACCTTAATATATTTTACTAAGGCTAAAATCTAAATTCTAAGAAGTCAGTTATGTCACCTCATTTATTAGTGAAGCAAAATGGGATTTAACATCTTACAGTTCTGCATCGGCTGGGCTAATGATGAAGGGCATACGCCATTATATGGTGTGCTACTGCTATCAGGGAAATTTTGCCTGGACAGTGGCACTACGGACTGCGCTGTATTCGAATTCCAACCGTCAAGGTTTATTTTAAATGCACGATATTGTGTACTCGCAATCTGATTAAAACACAGATCCTATTTAGTTTCGTTTTTAATAGTTCAAAATTTCGTTTTATTTGTTTGTACTTCACTATGATCTGGAAGAGTTGTTATAAAACCCGTGTTCTGGATGGCGTGCGGGATTAGCCAATGAAACCATGACTTATTGGCGTGCGATGCACGGAACTGTGGGTAAACCACTAGAAACGTCAACGCTGATTGATTAATCAATGTCTGAGGTGATAGGGTCAAAAACCGCTCGTACGAGCCCTGACATGACCTTCCAGTACAACTGATCAGGTCTTCATTATGTTTTTTCTGTCTGTCACGATTTGGCACCTGACCAATTGCCACTCGTGCAAACTACCCCCCCAGCTGCGTCTTCAAAATCATAAAGAAAACGAAATGGCATTAATAGTATAATTTAATACTTTATATATTTATATCAGATCAGTAAAACAATCAATTTTCAGAGTTCAGTATGTCCATAGGTCACTTCCGGTGGGAATCAAACCATCAATTCACAAAAACATTATTCGTCCAACGAAAACATTAAACATAGGCCTGCAATACCTATTCTGATTTAAGTTATTCGTAAAACATTTAAACACCGCACAGTTCTCCACAACACCGTTGAGATAATTATAGGCCTGTGGATCCTATTCTGGGATCATCTCAAATGTTCTGTTCACGATATCAGCTACGGCTAAACTTGGCCCCAACGCCGCTCCATATCAAACGTTGCCCAACAATAATCTACACACATAAAAGTTTCACCTACTGGGCGTAATCAAACGTGGCCCAGTTCCAATGTACCTCTGATTTAATTAAACATGGTCCGATATTCACTACAGTTATGTATTCAAAGAAGAAAGGTTAAATTGGCCCCTCCTACATAATCGATCCGATTCGGCCTGAACGAACCTTACTAAAAGACTGACTGACTGACTGACTCTGATGTGCCATCCACATCTGCTTATATAGCCATATTGTGCACATGCTGCATGCCTCAGATGCAGTTGACAATCAAGATGAGTTTGGGGGATACAGCTTAGACAATTAAAATTGAGTTTGGGGGATCAAACTCAGACAAATAGGATGTGAACATAAATATTTATAAATTCGGATGTAAAAGAAAAAATATGATATTTGATTGTGACACTGTCAGGACCTATTGCTCATGGCTCATTATACCTGTTAATAATTATTTGATCCTTTATTCCTGTACTTATCTATACCAATTAGAGTTTATAACCATCAATGTACATTTGTTTATTTAACGGCTGGGGACAGTTGCTCATGCTTGCTGATTATGCATCCCATTGAAGGGTTCGCACTGCTCTTGTATATATATATAACCATATTTTTTCATTTTATTTATTTGTGTTATATGCTTGATAACGACTTGTGAAATCTTGTTGAAACGTCGCAGTGAAATAAACCATAGTAATAATTATCCATAAATAGTGTGTTATTTGGGAGGGATTTAGCGCAATGGTTAGAGAGTAGGATTTGTGACCGAATGGTTGCAGGTTCGAGACCAGTCGAGTTCTTGTGTCCTTGAATAAGACACTTTATCCCTGTACTCCAGTCTACCCAGCTGTAAATGGGTACCAGTAGGATGGTGTATGTATTATACAAAAAACTGTTGCGCTCCTTGAAGCAGCATATGTTGGGGCGCTTTCCAAGAGTTCAGGGGTAAAGGGAGGTAAGCAGGCTTTACCTGTATCCTAGAGACCGGGATAATAATTGTGTAGCGCTTTGAGCATAAACTTGGTTTATGGATATAGCGCATTATAAATATACTCATTATGTAGTGTAGGCCATCAAAGGTATATAAAACGAAACGAAATAAAGATCTGTATTTTAATCAGATTCGTGTACTCGGGACAATGCAAACTTTGCCGATGACAAATTAATATCTCAAATAAATAATCACCCTTGACAACACGAGTCTTCCAAATTTACTCGCCTCCCGGCTCAAGGCCCCAATCTTTCCTGGACCCCGTCAAAGTATGTCAATATATTGTAAATTAGGGAGAGAGAAATGGGGTTTAACGTCCACTCCACACAGTTCGCGACTAACACATGGTTCAATTTTATTTCAATAATTCGCTTGAGCATCGCTTGAGCATAAGGGTCTTTAGCAGTGGAGGAAACCGCAGGACCCGGAGAAACCTTGGACAGGCGACCCTACTCCTTGTCACGTACAACCGGGGAATCGAAACCACGCCAGTTGACTCAATGACAGACCTTATGAAACAGCGCGCACGAGCTAACCATTTGGAGGGAAATTTTGCCCGGGCAGCGGCACTATGGCCTACTCTTATACCGAATTCCAACGGCAAGGGATCCTTATCGTGCACGCCAGTGTATAGACGGGACCTCGGTTTTTAGTCCCATCCAAACGACTAGACAACTGTCCTTGTCAGGCCCTCCATTCTGCACCACTGACATCTTTATAAACACATAGAGTTCAATATGTGACAATCATCTCATAAATCGATAATCTGTTGCGTCCTTTGCAGGGGAGATTTCTCTAAGTCATAATCATATCGGTTACCTTCCGCCTCAAATTCATGAATATTCACCTAAACCGGGAGGAAAATGAACAAATCCCGTTCTTCAATTCTATATCAAAGGATCAACAAACAATGCCATACGATGGCACAAAAATGGAAAAGATAATATTGTTATAAATAGACGAACTTTATATTATTATTTATATCTTCATTCTGATCCGGTTTCACGTAGTCAAGCCGCGACATAGTCTCAATCATTCAGACGAATACTCGACCAATGCTGAAACTGGAAAGTTTTGGGTGACCGTGACTATTTCTGCTCTGCAAGCTATTAATAGCTCCTCTCCTTTTTGTTATTTTGAAGGATGCGATGTAGCATCAACCGCCTACCGAGGGCAAATCTGGCCGGACCAGTAACGTCTAATGTAAACAATGCCTGCGTCATTAAACCAACGATTGAAGCCGCGTGCTGTTTCGTCACACGTCATTGACCGAGGGTTTTTCCAAGGTATTTATAGCGTGTTTTATTTTCTCAGAAAGTTGTCTTTGATTTAGGCCTAGATCATAGAAATTCGCAAATAGCGTGGGTGGCGAAATAACGGATTTATATGTGTTCTGCGTTGGTGTAGTTGGGTTGAATGTGGTTATATTTTAATACACGTTCTTAATACTGCCACTGGATTGTGAATGGGCGAGACGACAATTTGATCCGAATAGCATGTTGAATACCGAACTATCGTACACTCAATATTGCTGAATATAGGTAACACTAACAGTGAACCCGAGAGAGTTCATGAAATACTAGACGAGACTATTTTAATGTACTTTGAGATTTGTGAACTTTGTGATGATTAATACGCCACTCAAAAATACACGAAGCTTTCGTATAATGTGTATATGTTAAGTCGGGCATGCTGTAGGCAATTCAAATAGGATATATGATTTAAGAGTCGAATCACCTCCAAGCGTAAGTATAACAACTTTTTACCTTCTAACGACCAGTATGTATGACACAATTCGCATATATTATATATTCACATTTGTTTATAGCCCGCCTCACGAGGTGTGTGTGTGTGTGTGTGTGTGATGGGGGGCATGAATTTATCAAAGTTCAAAATTGAAATGGGCAATCAATACTGTTCCTTTTTAGCTTCTAATAAGAATGTATAATGTACAAAAGTTTTTGATTTATCGTAATCTGCTAGATTATAGTGTTAGAACGGGGGGGGGGGGGGCAAAAATATAAGGTTTCGCCCCAGAACATTTTTTCCCCCTCTCAAGGGCCCTGGTTTATAGACATCATTTATAGGATGTTAAGTATTGCTTCCTTGTCTTTGTAAATAAAATTACATATATATAAGACAAGATAAAAATGTTTAGGGCCTATTGCATCAAAACGTCCATCCCAGCGGGCACACAACGTTGTGACAACGTTGTTCAGGGGTTGTATCACAACGTCTGAAATAGGTCAGCTGTAGGTTGTTTTGCAACAAACTCTTACGTTGTGACAACGTTGTACGGACGTCAAAGCAACATTGTCACAACGTTGTGTGGTGGTTGACGAAAAGTTGTGACAACGTTGTACGGACGTCAAAGCAACATTGTCACAACGTTGTGTGGTGGTTGACGAAAAGTTGTGACAACGTTGTACGGACGTCAAAGCAACATTGTCACAACGTTGTGTGGTGGTTGACGAAAAGTTGTGACAACGCTGTACGGACGTCCAAGCAACATTGTCACAACGTTGTGTGGTGGTTGACGAAAAGTTGTCACGACGTCAGAATTTGTTGTTTTTCAACGTAGTGTGGTGGTTGGCGAAAAGTTGTCACGACGTCAGAATTTGTTGTTTTGAGGTTGTATAAAACCCAGTATAAGCCCCAATCGAACTCCCTACAGTTCTGCCCCCACTGGACTAACGAAGACGGGAATAGGCGGCCGGGCACGATGGATGTTAAATTAGGTGTGTGTGCGGGGAAGGGGGAGGGGGTGCTTAAATGCCCGACAGATTTGGGCCACGGTTTTGACATGGTGAAACGATACGCGAAGTTTCAACACTCTCACTCAATTAAAATCAAAGTTATTGTGTCCCATCACAACCAATCTAATTGCTTCTTTCTGAATGAAATCAGTATCAATTAATAGGACAGTACGTAGTTTCAAAACATTCAATTCAAACGATTATATTACAGTTAATATTAATGCTAGTCATATAACTTTGCAGTAATGGGTAAAGGTAATAGAATCTGATCATTAAATTTTAAGTAATGGTCATGTAATGAGTAATGGAAGATTTCAAAAGTAATGAGTAATGGAAATGTAATTAATTACATTCCGAAAATCATGTAATGGTCAATTACATTTCAATTACATTTAATGGCGCATTCTTTGAATGGCATTTTAGTAATTAGAACATAATCAAATAACACACTTTTATGGAATAACAATTTCTATGGTTTATTTCACTGCAACGTTTCAACAAGATTTCACAAGTCGTTTTCAAGCATATATACACAAATAAATAAAATGATTTTTTGTTCGTTCGCTTCTGGTGTTTTACGTCCACTTCCACCTAAGGTGATATCGTAGACAAAATAAAAAAAATGAGAAAGATATGAATATATATATATATAAACATCAGTGCGAACTATCCAATGGTGTGCAAGGAAGGTGAACATGAGTAGCTATCACAAGCTTTTGATGAAACAACGGTGAATAATCGTATATACTAGGATTAACTCATTATACAATTAAAAGTTCAAACAGAGGATTGTTGAGATGTACTGAAACCATACACATTATACTATATAATTGAAACCAGTTTAAAAGAAAATAAGGCATAGATCTATATACTATGATTAACTAAATATACATTCATAAGTGATCAAACAGAGGATTTACAGACATATATTACAACCATACTCTTATGCATTCAGTGATAACTAGAGTTTTAAAAGCATATAACAAGGAAACATATTTAATGTTATTACATTTTATTACTATTTAAAGATTTAGTGCTAATTTAGCATTCAATCAATCAGATTTAAAGACATGTCTTTAAATCTGATTGATTAAATGCTAAATTAGCACTAATCTTTAAATAGTAATAAAATGTAATTATATACTTTCAATGTAATGGGTAATGAATGATATTGCTAAAAATGAGAAAGTAATTTTAATGCAATTGGTACTGTAATAATAATAATAATTTATTATTTATAATGCGCCTATTACCAATATAAAACACTCAATGCTCAATGGCGCAGTTAACTTTTTGTGGACATCGCACATAGAAAATAAAATAAAATTAAATGGATGATAAAAGAACTTAAATTGGCTTATAAAGATTATAATAAAATATGACATGTAATAAACAAATTAAAACTGTACATGTACTTTATTGGTCCCTCTTCTGTCCGGCTCATATTTTAGATGAGCCGAAACTGCTGTTATTATCTCGGCTTCATTGCAGCTCGGCTGACTGATCATAACACTATCTGAAGAATACAAAAAACTGTATATTTACTCTGTCAAATTTTGTAAATTATATAATTCAGTCCGATCAAAAAGGTGGTCCTAAAGCTGTAACAGATAATTCTGCATCCCATGAATTATGGACCAAAGGTGGCTTATTGGGTAAAACGCTGGCTCGCTTGTCTGGAGGTCGCATTTTCGATCCCTACATTTGCCGAGAAAGTTCAGTAGGCCTGACAAGGACAACTGTTAGTCGTTTGGATGGTATGAAAAACCGAGGCCTCGTGTACACATTGATTGTGCAAGTAAAAGATCTCTTGGCAGTTGGAATTCGATATAAGAGTAGGCCATAGTGCCGCTGCCCGGGCAAAACTTCCTTCATAGCACGCGGTATGGCGCATGCCCATCTTCATTAGCCTAGTCGGAGCAGAACAGTAGGACGTTAAACCCCATATGAATTATATTATATATGACCCAATAACACATTCTATATGAGACATCGCTTGTGTTATTACTTTCATATTCTCCATAAATTTGTACGTGTAAGAAAGGCCTGGGTGTTAAATTACAAAAAAAGATAGGTTGCCAGACAACGAAACATACGCCCACAGCAGCTAAATCGTCCGGGCAGTCAACAAGAGTTGTCGCATATTTTTACTTTTTTCGGTAATGAAACATTTATAATACACTAAAATCTGATTAAGAGCAACAACTCAGAAAACCATTAGAATTTGTTTGGTTTTTATAAAGTTCTGCCCCATGCTAACGTTTTGTATACAAAACTTTTAATACTGTATCATGGATTTTGCTGTTCCAAGTCATAAAAATTCATTGAAAATCAATGTACTTGTACGTCTCAAGATCTTAAACTCTGTGTATCAATCTGAAGTCAATAGGATATAATAACTTTGGCCTCTAGAGCATCCACAAGATTTTTTTGAAGTGATCAAGGGCCATAACTCTGGCAGTAATTATCAGAAATCGCTGAAAATCAATATGCTTCTTCGTCTCATGACCTTAAACACTGTGTATACATTTAAAGTCAATCGGATATTAACTTTAGACTCTAGAGCGTCCACAAGATTTTTCAAAATGATCAAGGGCCATAACTCTGGCAGTAATTATCGTAAATTGCTGAAAATCAATAGGATTCTTCGTCTCATGACCTTAAGCACTGTGTATAAATTTAAAGTCAATAGGATATAATAACTTTGGCCTCTAGAGCGTCCACAAGATTTTTTGAAGTGATCAAGGGCCATAACTCTGGCAGTAATTATCGGAAATCTCTGAAAATCAATAGGCTTCTTCGTCTCATGATCTTAAACACTGTGTATAAATTTAAAGTCAATCGAATATTAACTTTGGCCTCGAGAGCGTCCACAAGATTTTTTTAAGTGATCAAGGGCCATAACTCTGGCCGTATAAAAAGATCAACACTCATCGATCAAGTAATAAAAACTTGTGTATGCCCATACCATGTTTGATTATCCGATATTTAAGGATATGTTCGTAAATTGAGTATGATAAAAACAAACCTCGGACAACTTTGTAAATTTCTAAGTCCATTATGGACCGCCTCCCTTTATTTCCCTTTAAATTAAATTGGGCCATTAGGGAATTAGACATCAACCTGTTAAAATAAAAAGACATACTGTTTATGCGTTTGACACTACCACGAATTTTGACTTTCCATTCCTTGACACCTAGAAATGGACATTAATGGGTTGCAACGCATATAATAATGTAATATGAATGTATATTAACTGATTTACATTCAATCGTTTCTGTTTTTACTTTAATGTCTAATCAGTTATGTTCAGCGAAATACGCGAAGAGAGAGAGAGAAATGGGGTTTAACGTCCACTTGACACAAACTAGGTCATTTCGGGACTAACACATGGTTCAATTTTATTTCAATAATTCGCTAGCGCGTAGGGGTCTTTTTAGCAGTGGGAGGACCCGGAGAAAACCCACCAGGTTGGACAGGCGACCAAACTCCTTGTCACGTACAACCGGGGAATCGAAACCCCGCCAGTTGACTCAATGACAGACCGTATGATACAGCGTGCGCGTGCTAACCATTCGGCCATCCAACCCCCCATACACGAAGAGTCCAAATTGAATGCCCTCTTTGGCGTCTGGTTATTCAAGTTTACACCCGCATAGTATTCTCTTGGGTATATTTAACTTCATTCTTCGAGTCTCTCTATTACAAATGAAACTTGAAAGCATTCTTGCACGCGATTCGTGTGGCAATTTCAAAACTTTAACTTTGTGTTAAATATTGGACATTAGAAGCCCATCTTTTCACGGTTACAACATTGATGTTGGGTTTAATTAAACAATGAATCCCATGGTTGCAATGTCGAAGACTGTGGATGATATTGAGTTAGAGACTTGACTCCTTTAAGACGAAGACGATTGGAAAACGAATGTACGATTCTTTTATCAATTTGTTTTCAAAAGAAAAAATACGACTTTAAACTGGTAACCACCAAGGCTCATCAGATGGGTTATCTATAGCTATAACATGAAATAAATGAAACACATCTAGTATATTATTATACTTCAATCACTGTAATATTTACAATCAATGTCAGTTCAATTATGCAGGTGTATGCTCATGAATATTGATGTTGTACATTTAATAATAAAATTACCCTTCACTTGAATTAAATCTAAAACCCACAAGCATGCAATTAAAGAGCTGTGGTGTTAACAGTCGCACTAGCCCGGCATTATATCCACCTGTCCGTAGATCGACAAAGTACAAGATTTAATTTTCAGAGCATATATGTTTTGTTGCGTGTCAACCTATAAGATCGTAGACTTGGTTGCCTAATAATTAAGATGTATACAGCGACTTGGTTAACCGTTCATCGGTTACTACTGGTGAAACGGTTCAATATTACAAACCGATATTCGTTTTCATATCATATTTGACATTCAAAACCAGGAATGGTATCCAAAAATGTTTTCATTCACTATAAAGACTATATAAATAGTTCATACAGCACAAAGTTCATATAGCATTTGTCATTTGTAATATATCACGGGAAATTAATGTCTTATTAATTCACGTTCGAAGTTTTGTATACGTTACATTATTATCAACACTCCCTGCAAAGCTTGGGGTAGTATCAACTTATCTAAACAATTCATGAAATCGGTAACCCTATAAATTTAAAGATAATAGATAATGGGAAAGTCCATTATACAATACTATAAATATTGAAATGGCCCCTTCCAATTCCAGACATAGATTGAAATAGCTCTTTCCAAATCCAGACATAGCAAATGACCAAAAACTAAATGATTAAAATGCAATACAATTATAAAATAAAAACACTAAAGTTTCAGAACTAAAATAAATCATTTAAGAGATAATAAAACATATTTAAAATACTCAATTTACTTTGCAAGGAGGGTTCAATATTAAACATTAAATAACTGGTTAAGGACAGCTATAGCGTGTATAGACATTTAGATATAGTCATATAGATTTGATAATATATACATGTATACATAAGTAATACATTCATATAAACAGTATAGTACAGTACAACTATGTCTAAAGTGTTTCAGCTACATGTGACCACATTACATAATTAATTTCGACCATTGACTCATTGACCCCATTTAGCATGGATCAGCCAAAGAAGGGACGTAACTCGTTTTTTCGTAATTGGATGCAGACTACCATTAATTTCCCCACTGACTTCAATGTTAATTCTGTCTCTTTTCCCGGCTCCATTTTTCCCAAAATTCTCATTGGGCTGAATGCTTTTCACTACAGAGAAACGAATGGCCATGAGGTTGACCACCAAAATTTTGAGATGCACAAACTCTGTCATCCTTCCGCCCCGAAACCATGAATATTTTATTTACCAACACCTGGCAGATAATTTTAATTCAAACACTCTTCGTCCATTCTAGACCAAAAAATCAACAAAAATGTACATGCGAACGGGGAGAGAGAAAAAAAAGAGAGAATTGCTATAAATAGAGGAAATACAATTTGTGGGCATCGAGACGATGAAATTTAATGGTGTTCTGCTATCTGTTCGCTTTCACAAATATGGCTTAAATTTTTCGCGAAAAGTAGGTCATGCGAGACGTCGCGGCCTCTTGCCTGTTTCCTCTGCAATTGATACCGGTTCCATTCAAATCAAAGCAGTGAGTTAAGAGGTCAAAGTTGCCGCGCATGACAATTTTGTCACAAATAATAAGCCAAAGAAGATTTTTATGTTCCGATTGAAAGTTTGAAATTTTGTAACTTGTTTCGTGGAGACGAGCCGGGGAATAAAAACTTGCTAACATAGATGAAATATTCTTCATAGCATTAGCACATGGCGCGGCGTATGCCAGTCTTGGTGTCACAAAAAATGCAGTAAGGCGTTAAACCCCATTCCATCTTATTGCTGTTTACAAATACTGTTAATTATATTTATACAGTCGTGTCGTTTTTGTTATTGGCAATCGGACTACAAGTTGGTCTCTATAATTCAAACAAATATTCTACGAATATTAGTCTGGATGGGTTGTCAACATTTGAGAATAACTAGGTCATTAGCTACATGCAACAGTTCTACCCAATGTTTCAACGTTGCCAACCTCTAATCCATGTTCCTGAAACAACGACTGCGAGTTTAACATCTTTAAAGCGAGATCAAGCCTTCTATTGAAGATGGCTTTTATCCTGCTGCATCAAATATCCACCAAAATCTGGCAGAAATTGTACATGTACACGTATATTTAAATTTAGCGCCTAACTCTTGTATCTTTACGCCTCAAAATCGTGAATGTTCACCTGGCAGAAAATGTAGGCCTGTATAATATTCAAACCTTTTTTTTTTCGATTCTACGCCATATTTTTAAAAAAAAACCAAAAAAACAACAAACGTACGTGTACAGTAACTACAAAGTATATACTATAAGTAGGGGTATTATTATTATTACGGTGATTGGATGGCCTAATGGTTAGCACGTGCGCGCTGTATCATAAGGCCTGTCATTGAGTCAACTGGCGTGGTTTCGAATCCCCGGTTGTTCTTGGCAAGGAGTGGGGTCGCCTGTCCAACCTCGTGGGTTTTCTCCGGGTCCTGCGGTTTCCTCCCACTGCTAAGGATGGCTACGCGATTATTGAAATAAAATTGAACCATGTGTTAGTCCCGAAATGACCTAGTTTGGGTTGAGTTAAAGTCTCTACCTCTCTTTTGGGTTTCCTCTGCATCCTCCAATTTCACCCCACCCCACCCTCTAGTCTCTCTCTAGAGATATGCAACAACTTTAACTTAAAGGTAGATATTTCCATAAAACATGGACTTGAACACTAAAGGAGTGATGACCATAGGAGATTAGTTGAACAGTTTTGGACTTTTAAAGTATTTTATAATCTGGTGTAGGCTATGTTCGACCAGAGCTGTATAAAGTTTTTAAATTATCAAAATGTCCAACATGAACATATGAAGTTTTAAGACGCTTTGTGAAAGTCAAAAGACAGGAAACGGTTGAAGCACCACAATAACTCGCGAACCATCATTTATATCAGGTCATTGACTAAGGCCCACACAAGTATCCTGTCCTCTCCTTCCTTCTTTCTTTTTTGTCCTCCCCCTCTCCTTTCTTCTCTTTTCTTTTTTTCTTTATATGCTTAGGCCCACTTTTTTTAATGAGCTTAGGCCCACCTGTCACGGACAGGTGGACAGGTGGGCCCAGTCCGGCACTGTGGATGGAGGTGTGTATGTGTGTATGTATGTATGTCGTATCAAATCAACCGGTATGACCCCGTGAATTTTTAATCTATTACTCGGTTCAATTTGGGCGACGGGCTTTGGATCCCGGGTGAATTTGTGCCCGGGCGAGGTCGGGCATCCTGCTATCTAAAATAATTAAGCGGTAATATGTACTTTTTGTATTTTCAGGTGGCTTCTACAAAATTATCAGGATAGAGTTTAATTTAAGAAGTACAGATTCTTAAGTAGACCAACATGTCGTCTTGTGTTCCTAAAATACCCCGTTCACGTCGCCAGACAGGACAATTGCACCATAGTGGGACTCAACCTGATGTAGGACTTGCTCGAAAACAAGCAAAAGTATTTGATGCAGATCAGAATGGTGACCCCGTTACAAGAATTCTCATACAGGGTGATGACGGAAAAATCCGTGAAGTGGATAGCAAAAAAGTAGTCGATGCTGACCACGAATCGGTTACAGCGAATCAGAATCAAGCAGGAGAAGATGACGAATTTATTGTACACGATGCTGACCAGCCCTACAGATCAGAACACGATTCGGTTAATCAAAACGGCGATCCCGGTACCGGCCACGATTCGGTTACAGTGAATCTTTATCAAGGACAAGATGTTGTCGATTTGTCTGTCTATCCGAAACAGCCCTATATCTCAGACGACGAATTCAAGTTCAAATGTCACCATTTTTTGCTCGGTATTCTATCTGGTATAGTTTTGTTAACAGATATATCCACGGACGTTTATTTGACGGTAGAATATTTCCGAGAAGGTTTTGGCATTTTTGGCATCGTCACAGCCATCTTGGTTTCTGGGGCGTCCGTTGTGGTTTGTGGTTATAGTCTGTATTGGTATTATCTGGACTACGCCGTCAATAAGAATGATCCCACTTGGCTGTGGGTCTGCAGAATTGTATTTTCGTGTCTGCAGTTGGCCATTTTGTGGAGGTAAGATTGATAGTATACGATGGGATAATTTAGGTTTTGATTTTTGGGGATCGCGTGTTTAAAAAAGCCTGAATTATGTATTATAGTAACTGACGATAGGGCGTAACGGTGGCTCAACGGGTGAGATGTTGGCTCGCTAACCTGGAGGTCGCGTGTTCGATTCCTGCATTGTCTGAGAAAGTTCATCGGGATTTTCCGGCGTGGTTAACCCTTGTATGTGCATGGTGCAGGATAGGGGGCCTGACAAGGGACAGTCGTTCGGATGGGACAAAAAACCGAGGTCCTGTGTACATATTGGTGTGCACGAAAAGGATCCCTTGGCAGTTAAAATTTAATATAAGAATAGGCCATTGCACGCTGTATGGCCTATATCCGTCTTCATTAGGCCAATCGGAGCAAAAGAATAGGGCGTTAAACCCCATTTCATTTCATTTTAATAGCTGACGGTCTGACTGTTCGGGTATCCTGTTAATTTATCTCGATTCACCATCCGATGGTCTAGAATTGGATTATGGGCGTATTTTGTTGATTTATGACTAGATAATAATTTAAATAACATTTGAAGCCAGAAAAATACCTTTGGTAGGCGACTTAACTCTTGCTAAATCACGTTTTTGACATCAAAAGAAAAAAAAGAACCACATTATGTTGTAATATCTTTAAAACAATTAATACTTTTTCTGAAAGAAATATTAGGAAACAATATGATTAAAGTACAGATCTATATTTCGCTTTTATACTTTCGATGGCCTGCATAACATGAAGATCTGACCGGCTGTAATGGGAGGTCGTGTCAAAGGTCATACAAATGTCTTTTGAGCCTATGACGTTAGTTATTCGAGTAACCAATCAGCATCTGTGTTTTAAGTGGGCATTCGAAGATACTGATTGGCTAATCCCTGACATCTACCGGAACTTGGGTTATTTAACAGTTCTTTCAGATCCTAGTATACTGAAGAGAAGTAGAACAAAATTATGAACTATAAAAAAAACGAAACGAAATGTGATCTATATTTTAACCAGATTGATTATGAAATGAAATAACCCCAATGTTGTTATCTTGAATTAGGACTATGGAATATCTGTATTATGGTTACAAATCACTGAAGTCAAAAAATGAAAAAACAAAAAGAAAATATACTTCTAAGACTGTCGATGAAGCTGTCGATCTACGGTTCCTGTGTGTTTTTGAGAGTTTTTTGGAGTCCGCCCCGCAACTGGTTTTTCAACTGTATGTTTTTGGTACACTTCGACCAGTTGATAAAGACATTATTTCACGTAAGTTATCAAAATGACCGGGATCACGCTAGCTAAGTGGTAAAGACCCTGGCTCGCTAGCCTGGAGGTCGGGTGTTCGATCCCAGCATTAGCCGAGAAAGTTCATCAAGATTTTCCGGCGTGGTTCCCCCTTGTCAGTGATGCAGGACGGAGGGCCTGACAAGGACAGCTGTCTGGTCGTTCGGATGGGACGAAAAACCGAGGTTCCGTGTACACAATGGCGTGCACGTAAAAGATCCCTTGACAGTTGTAATTCGATAAAATAGTAGGCCATAGTGCCGCTTCCCAGGCAAAATTTCCCTCATAGCACACTGTATGGCATATGCCCGTCTTCATTAGCCCAGTTCGGAGGAGAATAGTAGGACGTTAAACCCCATTTCATTGCATTTCATTTATGAAAATGACATCCCGTCTTTTTTATCCCGGTTGGTGAAGAACAGTATAGCCCTGCTAAATTATTGGTCCGGGGAGTGGGGGGCAAGTGTTCTTGTGATTCGTGATTCGTGCTGGCCGGCTACCTCTGGGCCGTGGGTTAGATCCCTGATGTGCGCGTATCTGGCTTGGAGGATTTACTCCGGGCACTCCTATATCGAAATTCAACTGTCGTGGGTTCTTTTGCGTACTCGAATACGTGTACACGGGGCCTAGGTTTTTATCCCATCCGAATGACTACAGATTGCTCCTTGTACTTTGTACAGATGCCCGTACTTTCTCGACCAATACTGGTATGAAGGAGCAAAGAAAACAAATTGGTAAAAGCATAAAAAAATCGGTGTCGTGAGCGAAAGGGTGGGTCATATTGGTCGTAATAAAATCGAGTTAAAACAGGAGGTTCAACTGATTGAAGTTTAGTATCGTAATTGGCAATGCGGATAGAAAAACACCCGTGGGGGAAAAGAGTCCACTTGCTTTATGATGAAGTTCTCGCATTAAAAAACACATAGCTAGACCACAGAGCCACGTTGTCTAAGTGAGTAAGACGCTGGCTCCCTAGTCTGGAGATCGCGGGTTCGATCCCAGTGTTGGCCGAGAAAGTTCATCGGGATTTTCCGGTGTGTTTTCCCCTTGTCAGTGGTGCAGGACGGAGGGTCTGGCGAGGCACCTGTCTAGTCCTTCCGATTGAACGAAAAACCGAGATCCCGTGTACACATTGGTGTGCACGTATATCCCATTTCATTTATCAAAAATTGTTTGTTTTCAAATAAAGTTAACTTTTCTTTTGTTTCAGTTTTGTACAGATTAGGCAAACTCTTTGTAACTTGGATCGGATTAAGTTTGAGTCTGACGTCATACCACTCAAGTCTACGCAACTCAGTAGCAGGGAAAAAGAAGATGGGCGTGGTCAGTTATTCAGGTTATTTAGCCTGGCGGGTCTTTGAGGTCGGCGGCAGGGTGATAAGCTTAGCATATTTCGCAATTTATTTCCACGAATGGATTTTGCTTGGCATTGGAATCCACTGGATTCTGCTATCAATTGTGAATATGAGCAATGGAACTAGTTTCTATGAAAACAAAATCCTCAATAAAGGATATGACGTATGTTTGGGCTACGTCATGATTTTTTGCTTTTTAAACATTCCTGAGGGTCCTTCGAAATGCCGATTAGTTGTTTATTACGTCATATTCTACATTGAAAACATTGTGTTGGTCGTTTGGACAAGTGTTGTCAATCCTTCCAAATGGTGTTGGAATTATGTGTACGTCGTTTTCGTCATCGTGTTTAGTTGCCTCCATATTTTTCTCCTGCTGTTGTATTACAAATTTTGTCATCCAAATAAAGACAACGGTACATGTTTGAGACGAATTAACAATATCTGCTCTTCTGAAGATGAAGATAACAAAAACATGTTATAACAAATTGAATAAAGTCAGTGATATGTGCTCTTTTGAACATACAATATTTTAAAATATTAGCATAGAAATTAGATAAAATCAATTTGATTAAAACACGGATCTTAATTCGTTTCTTTTTTTATAGTTCAAAATTTCGTTTTACTTGTCTTTACTACACTAGGATCTGGAAGTTCTGGTTGAAGTGAGGGATTAGCCAATGCAACGGTCTGTTAGGCGAGCCCTTGGCGTGCGATGCACGGGACTGGGTAAACAAACTACTAGATATGTCAACGCTGATTGATTAATCAATGTCTCACGTCATTGGTCAAAAGCTGCCCGTATGACCCCTGACGCGACCTTCCAGTACAACCGTTCAGATCTTCATGTAGTGCAGGCTATTGAAAGTATAAAAAAACGAAACGAGAGAGAGAGAGAGAGAGAGAGAGAGAGAGAGAGAAATGGGGTTTAACGTCCACTCGACACAAACTAGGTCATTTTGGGACTAACATGGTTAAATTTTATTTCAATAATTCGCTTGCGCGTAGGGGTCTTTAGCAGTGGGAGGAAACCGGAGGACCCGGAGAAAACCCACGAGGTTGGACAGGCGACCCTACTCCTTGCCACGTACAACCGGGGATTCGAAACCACGCCAGTTGACTCAATGACAGACTTTATGATACAGCGCGCGCACGCTAACCATTCAGCCATCCAACCCCCCAAAACGAAACGAAATAGAGATCTTAATCAGATTGAGATAAAAATGACTTGATTGAATATAACTTAAATTTGTTCTATGGTGCTTATTAACATACTATCATTGAATTTTGGTATGTATGCTGTTTGCGAGTTGTGGATACGTATTCAGCTTTTAAAAAAGTGATTGAGTGGACCCATATGGGCGCTCCGTGGGTGTCTGATTGTTTCGTTTCACCCGCTCATGGATTCTATCCAAATTTGTAGCACGGGTGCTGTTTATTATTCACATTGGAGTTGGGTGGCCGAATTGTTTAGCGGGTTTGCTTTAAATTATAAGGTCTGTCACTGAGTCAAGTGGCGTGGTTTCGATTCCACGGTTGTACGTGACGTGTAGGATTGCTTGTCAAACCTCGTGGGTTTATCTGTGTGCTTTGGTTTCCTCCCTTTGCTAAAGAGCCCTACGAGCAAGCGAATTATTGAAATAAAATTTAAAAATGTGCAAGACAGATTTAGCTCTTACATAAGTTTCGAAAACTTAAATGACAATGCCAAAATGATTAAATTAATGAATTACCCTCGATACATTACAAAGTCGTTTAATATAAGACGAGAATTCTTATTTAATCCTAACTAATTGTATATAAATAATCTCTTAACGAAATAACTACAAATATTTATATTATTACATGTACTTATTTACTTTATTATTAATTATATTTAAAGTGACTAATAGGCCCAAGAGGCCGGGTGTTTGAACTATGTCATAAGTTATATTGTATATAACATAACATATGTCACTATAATAAAAATTTCTTCTTCTTCTTCTTCTAATGCATCTTTAACTGAAACTGCTCAAACCATATCTTTTTACATTTTTTTACTTGTTATCCATGGCTATTATTTTATTTATGTTCAAATACTCACTTTCTCGAATGTTTCTTTTGCATTTTATTAATGTTGACTTGCCAGACAGAATTAAATGGATTTAACTTCATACAACCAAATGAAATGAAATGGGGTTTAACGTCCTACTTTCCTGTACGTCATCTGGGGTAATGAGACTGACTTACACCAAACACTGTACTATGGGAGAAATTTTGTCCGGGCAGCGGAGCCACGACCTATTCTTATTTCGAATGCCAATTGTCAAGGGATCCTTTTTGTGCACGCCAACGTGTACACGGGACCTCTTTTTTACGTTCCGTCCCACTGACAAAGGGAAACCGTGCCGGAAAATCCCGAGGGGATTTTCTCGGCCAACACCGGAAACGAACTCTAGACCTCCTGGTTAGCGAGGCTACGCTTTAGTCACTGAGTCACTGCATATACCAGACAGGCTTACATGAGTTTTGAGTTTATGATTGAGGTCCATATACTGGGTGGATATATGATGTGTTTTTTTTTTATCGATTCACGTATATTCCTGAAGTAACGGCCCGACAAATCTTTGGGTGGCATTAGCTAGGTCTTATTAAACGGAACATTGCCAGTAATTTGCATATCACGTGTCATACGACTATTTTATTTTTGTTTCGCATTTTTGGATTTGACCTTAAAATAGATTTACCTATATATGTAAAACTTCCAATATTGCCATTCAATACATAAAATCTAATGATATCAACAATTTTGTTATTGGTCGATTGAAGGCCTTGTTTTGCGCAATATTTCCCGGTTGGAGCTGACGTCCCATTAAACACCATTCCATTTATTCATTTGAAGGTTGAATCAGAAATGATCAGAACATTATTTAACTTAATCTCTTGCATTTATTATTTTTTTAATCCATTTTTAATATAATATCATCTTTTTGTCGATATTTATATGTGTTGATGTACGGCAATAATATGTCATATTTCATTATTTTTTGTCAATTTATTATGTTTTGTTTTGATGTTAAACGATCTTTTAACTAAGATAAAAATCCAAATTTTAGTAATTTGATTGGATAATATTATATTGATTTTAGTGCTTAGCCAATCAAAATTGAAGTTTCTACTAAAATTTGTATTTTATCTTTAGTTAAAATTTCGAGAAATAGGGCCCTGTTACAGTCTATATGATTTTGCGAGTTTTGGATGTAGGCCTAATGCACCCGTCAGACCGGGATGGAGCCCTTACTGCGCTGCTGGCTGCAACCGAACGGCGACCAGAAAATCGACAAGGTCGCCGGCAAAGGTGAACACAACGCGAGAAAATGTCCCAAAAAATTGCAAACTTGAAAAAAGTCGCGTTCTCACAGCTTTCCGGGGCAGATCACAGAACTTTGGCGTTTGTTTCGAACATGCTCAAAATAAACGCCGTAAGTCGGCAATCATTGACCACCATGGAGAGCACGTCGCGATATCTGGCGTTTCCACCACGCTTTTACGTCACTGTAGCAGCGCAGTGAGGACATCACCTGGCCTGACGGGGGTATAAGCGACATTAGCAAATGCAGGGGGCAAATAACTCTTCTGACATCTACTAGCAATTATTTGCCCATTGACTTCAATGTTAAATGACTGTAACATCACAGGCTGTAGCTTTTTGCTCAACATTCCGTTGGTTCCAATCTTTATAGGCACAATGGGGACAACATTTGGCAATCTCCTCATCATAATTTTGTAGGGGGTTGACCATTTAGATTTTTTGCTACACGGATTTGAAGTTGACAGGGGTGAAAATCTCACTTCCGACACAATGATTGCTCTGCAGAAAGACACTTTACACCCCCTATCCCTCCGCTGTAATATCATCAGTATTACCCAAAACTGCTATGAAATTGCAAATTTGATCCCTTTTCCCAATTCTAGACCAAAAAGTCAACCCAAAAATGCAGGAAGAGGGGAGAAAAAAATTAAGGGAAAAATTGTCTATTTATAACTCGCACTAAATTATTACTAGTCTTAGTCCTACTCTTGGTCGGTAGGTGTGTAACACAGAGTTTACTCTGTGGTGTGTAAGGACATCACCTTGACGGGGGTATAAGCGACATTAGCAAATGCAGGGGGGGGGGGCATTTAACTCTTCTGACACCTACTCTCTGTCGGTAGGTGTGTAGAAAGGTACGAACAATATTTTTATTTAGTATATAACTGAATTTGGATTGAAGAACAGGCTATGCCTATGTATATCCCCTCTCTCAGATACACGTATACAGTATAAACATGTTTTATATATTACATTTGCTTTATTGATTTATTGTGATTTTTAGCTCATTAGGTCTGCCATTGGGTCCAGTAGTATGGTTTCGATTCCCCGTTTGCTCACTGAAAGGACTACGGCCGCCTGTCCAACCTCGTAGGTCCAATCTCCTGAGTTTTCTCCGGGTCCTCCGGTTTTCTCTCACTGCTAAAGACCCCTACGCACAAGCGAACTATTGAAATATAATTAAACCATATGTTAGTCCCGAAATGACCTAATTTGTGTCGAGTGGACGTTACCCCCTCTCTCCCTCTCTCTCTCTCTCTCTCTCTCTCCAACCGCGTACCCCCCCCCCCCAATCCCACCAGCTTAATGCGATTTATTAAAATAAAATTTAAGTATTAGTCCCGAAATGACCTAGTTCGTGTCGTATGGACTTTAATATCCTATCTCTCTCTCTAGGTCCATATTCCCCCCCCCCCCCCCACACGGGTTTACTCGTTTTGAAAGGTTTAACGTCCTACTGTTCCCGCACCAACTGGGCAAAAGAAGACGTACATACGTCATGCAATGTACTGGGGGGAAATTTTGCCCGGATAGCGGCGCTATGGCCCAATCTTATTTCGATTCTCGGCTTTTGTCCCATCCGAACGACTATACGTTGTGCTTTGCCAGAACACCCCCCCCCCCCCGTCCTTCACCACTAACAAAGGGGAACCACGCCGGAAAATCCCGTTGAACTTTCTCGCCAACGCAGGGATCGAAGACGGGACCTCCAGGTTAGCGAGCCAACATCCTAGTCACTGAGCCGCCGTGGCTCTCCGTGGCAGGCTATGTCATGAGGGGGAACTTGTATAACAATACAAAAGGGGGTAATAATCTGGGTATTGCCACACTCACAAAAATGCAATTTGTATATGAAGAACAGTGCCAGTGAGGGTAAATATATGCTTACCTGTTCAGAAAACTGATGTGGGTACTCGATTGAACGTTCCGGAATTGAATTATCTCAATCCCAAAAATAGTGACAATCGAGTGAAAATAGTGATTTCGGGCTATAACGCATATGCCGACTGCATAAAGAACTATACCAACCAACCATGACAGTTGGAACATATTCGTTGTTTTTAATTACATCATGTTTCAGCTGACACCATCTCAGTTGTCGGCATTGTCATAACTGTGACAGGACTGAAATCCATGTCAGTCATTTGCCATCAATTCTGTCAATTTGGGACGTTCCAGACTGAGAGTCGAACATTCCCGTATTTATGAACCCCAGGTCATCGTTGAGCTCCCCCTTTAAATTAATGTTTATTCTCGTCTATTTGCCCAATTTTATTTTTTTATTTTTTTTTTTTTGGGGGGGGGGGCGCAACCTGTGGCAACGTCTGGCTCAACTGCACGTATGACGTTCACCTCAAAATCATGCATGAATACTCACCCAAATCTGGCAACACGTGTACATTAAAATCATTTTCTTCCATTCTACACAAAATCATAAATATTAACCCAAATCTGTCAACAAATGCTAATTTAGACCATTTTCTGCCATTCTATACCAAAAAGTGAACAAAAACATCCACGAAAAGCGGGGAAAAGGTGACAAA